GACGGGCTGCCTGCACCTCTGGGCAGCGCGAGCAGGGGCTGGGCTCTGCCTCGCACACCAGCGGAGGGGCAGATCGCTGGGAGGTGCCGGCGCTGGGGCTGGGGAGCGCTCCGCACTGCTGGATGCTCGGCCGATGCCCAGTAGATGGTGCTGGTACTCGGCAAAGCCTCTCGGATGTGGGAGCCCAACTCCTGCTGCGCTGGGCAGGGCCGGCAGCCCGCCGGCACCGCGTGCACATGGGCTGTGTTTGCAGAGACCTGCCTGAGGGCACGTGGAGCTTTAGTGCCTGAGGCAGGAGCAGATAGACTCGGTAACGGAGCAGAGCACGTGGTGTGGGTGCTCTGTCAGTGCCTGGTGCCGGGACAAGAGCAACAGGCACAGACTGGAACACGTGGGGCTACATCTGAACACAAGGAACCACTTTGTCACTGTAGGGACAGTGACAGAAGCCTGGCACAGACACCTGGAGAGGTCAGAGGGTCTCCAGCACTGCAGATACTCAACACCTCCCTGGACACAGTCCCAGGCAGCCTGCTCTGCCTGAGCCAGCTTGAGCAGGCCTTGGGGTAGATGATCTCCAGAAGTTCATTTCCAACCCCAATCATGCTGGGATCCCGTGACCTCAGGAAGTGGGGGCAGCTTGCACAGCCTGTGAGGAAGCACAGCACAGTGTGAGGAGCAGCGAGAGGTGCAGAGTTTAAGCCACCACTGTGGGAAGGTGGAAGGAACTGGGCATGTTCAGTCTGTAGACTCTGGACGAGAGGGGCAGGTTTACCTCTGCTTGATACCTCTGGCAACAAGAGGGGCCCAACTTTTGTTCTTGTCCTACCCCCAAAGGCAGAGCAGTGGAACTGCAGCAGGGGAACAGACCTTACACCAGGGAGGGCACCTGCCCTGGGGCTGCTTAGACAGGGACGCGTGTGACCCAGCTGGCAGCTGCTCCGGTAGCTCCATCCCTCCTGGGCACAGTCAGCACTTTGTCCTCTGGTTTTTGGCAGGACGATGGCGTTTGGGTGCTCCTGGGGTTTGCAGCTGGGTGCTCTGCTCGGCAGCGTGCAGGAAGGCAGGAGGAGAGGTCCTGTGTAGCTGTGGTGGGGTGGGAGCCCTGCTCTGCCACCCAGCTCCTTTCCTGATGCTGACTTTCCCCCTGCAGCATCCTGGCTGAGCTGAAGCTGCGTGACCCCAGCTTCCCCGATGTCTCCTATGGGGTCCTAATCCACAAGGTGATCATTGGCTCTCCAGCCCATCAGTAAGTGTCCTGTGCCTTGGGGGGTGGCCTGAGAGAGCAGCAACGCGTGGTGGCGTGTGTTTAGCTCTGGTTTGCTCCAGAGCAGCAGGGCTTGGGCCCTGATGTGCAGCAGAAGCCAACTGGTGGCCCTTGCCCAGGCTTGTCCTGCTGGCCCAAGCCTGCTTGTGGTGCCCGGCACTCCTTGCTCCCGGGAGGTGTCTGCGTCACCCACTGTGCTCGTGTCACTGTGCCCACAGGGCAGGGGTGAAGGCGGGGGACGTAGTGCTGGAGATCAACGGGCAGGCGTCGCGCCGCGCCGAGGATGTGTATGAGGCGGTGCGGACACAGCAGAGCCTCACCCTGCTGCTGCGGCGCGGCCACGACACGCTGCTGCTGAGCGTCGTCCCCGAGGCCACTGAGTAGCAGAGCTGCCACATGGGGCAGGACGTGCAGGACTGAGCCATGTCCACGAGCTGGGCACGGACACACCGAGACCTTGTGGGGACTGGAGGGCGCCCGGCCCGGTGCCGGGGTGGACTCGTGGAGCAGCCCTTCCCTCTGTACTCAAATAAAGCACTTTTATAGGGACCGCCCGGTGCCGTGGGGTCTCCTGCCCACAGCATTGCCCGGGGGAGGCTGGGCTGTGGGGAGGCCCGCCCCCCCTG